GGTGGTCGTAAACGGCTGTATATGTTAAGATACGGCGATTCTCGTTGTCGTAAACTGTCGTTTCGTTCAAAATACGACCGTGTCACGGCACTGTTTTTAACGTTTATGGTGGTTGGGTTTCACCGTTTACGGTAGGTGGGTTTCACCGTTTACGTCACGGTGGGTTACGGCCGTAATACGGGCATACCAAACAGGTTATTTACGGCCCGTATACGGTCATAACTCTGACGGTTACGGCCGTTTACGGCCACTGTAATGTTCGTCCTGGGTATAGTTCTTGATCAGTTTCTTGTGGCTAAAAGTTAGAATATTTGCTGTTATGTGCAGTTGAGCGTGATTTATTGGATAATGTCAATTTGTCAACGCGCGCTGATGAATTGATAAGTTCTGTCGTCATTTCCGATTTTTCAATATTCGATCAATATTATTAACTCACTACCTTTTTTAACTTTTAGTCTCTAAAGAAAGACCGACGAGTGAAGGTTAGTACTAATAATTAGTGTTACAGTATGCTTTAAATGAATGTTCAAGTGCTGTTTTATTTCTTTTTTGTTTCAAAAACGCCCCTGTACCTACCCATGTCGCGAATACCGCTTCAATTTTTGTGGTAAACCGCGGTAATTTTAGAAAAGCGGTAAATTTGTATGAAATGGGAGCCGGTAACCGGAGCGGTAATACCGCTAGTTTTTCCGGTACCATTTTTTTACATGCATCATATAGGAAAAAAAGATGCCTAAAATAACCCGATCAATGACTTTTAGCAACAATTTTTTATAAACGCTCAGTTAACCGGTTAATCGAAAAATACCGGCGGTAAACCGCGGTGTTTCCCGAAACCCCCGGTTTACCGCGGTAAATTTGTGTTGATGGGAGCCGGTAACCGGAGCGGTAAAACCGCGGTAAACCGTCAATTTTACGCCAGTTTTTCCAACATGGGTATTTCTTCTTATTTGCTTGTTTGGTGTAATAATTGAAAATTGAACTATATTTTATGTGAACAAAAATATACTAAACTTACATTTGAAATTTTTATTTTTTAAAGCTTACCAACCGACAAAACTACGCCTCATGCAGGCCTGTTTCATTAAATTTGCTACTTCATTTGAAAGATATACAATAAAAATTTCATAATACCCGTGTCTAACGATAGCAATAGTAGAAAAGTCTGAAACGTTCACAAAAAGTTGTTCTCCTTAGCGAGTCTTTCTATGAAAAGTTTCAAGTCAAAATTCGAACATCAATTTTTTTAATGTCCCTGGGGGCGGGGGCAGGCATTAAAAAAAAAACTCATACCTTAGAAATGGCCTAGTTTCGTCACAATAAGCTATCCGCCCAAAATATTTTTAGCGTATTCATAACTCCTTGGAAGCTACATAATCTAAGTAGTTTCAACGCAAAAGCGATTCAACACTTGGTGATCCTCCCTCGTGAGCTCTATCTGAAAAGGATTTGACTTGTGTTTTGTTCCTTTCTATTAAGAAAAATAGACAAAAAAAAATTATCAAGAAAAATAATTATTTATATGGTACCTCCAATCTTTCTGACAAAGGAAAACATCTATGTTTATACGAACTCAAATAAATATAATATTCTGTGTGATATTTCTGACGATCTCGATTGTGTTGTAAACGACTATTTCTATTAAGCTTACGAAAATTCTGAAGGCTCAACATTTAACTATCGCTAATGAACGAAAAGAAACAAATTTTCGATAAAACATTCGATTGTAATACTGTTTCAGTGAAACCATATGACTCTATAAATAAATTAGTCATAGTAAAATATATGATGACTAACATGTTGATTCTTTTACTCGAAATAGGCTGAATATTAAATTTATAAGTTTCAATGTTTACATGCCTGCCAGTGGTTTTATCGCATTGAGTAAATAACGAAACCAAAAATACATTTGCTTGTCTGTTTGTATTATTCTGAATAAGAAATAATTTCCTTCGATTTTTTTTATCGTATATGATAAAAATCACAAGACTTCTGCCGTTAAGGAGCCGATGTGTTTGTTATTCAATTGTAGTTAGATAATCAATATCATTGAATAAAAAAAACGAAGTATACTTTATATTTTAATAAATTTATTTCACAAGAGTGTTTAAAGAAAATTTAGAATTACTTATCTATCAAAGTTCATAGAATGCAATTCAAGAAAAGGTAGCGAAATAAATGAGTTTTCTTATTACTATTTCTATTGAATGTCTTGATGATTGAAATATGATCAGAAAATACTTAATATTGACTTTTTTTCTGAACTATATCGTATTATATGTGTGTATTTAAGTGACATTGTTCAAAGACTACATAAACTATTCCCTGATGTTTACAGACAATAGAATACTGTTTTATTTGATGAAAAAGTCAGGTAAGTTTACTTAATTGTTAATATTGAATGTAAGAATAACTTCAACAATACTTCTAAAATAAAAACAATTAAATAGAAAGATGCAGATTATATTTTTCAGTAAGTTTTTTTACATTATTTATTCATGTAAACTATAAGTTTATGATATCTTTTTTCAAAATATTGAATATTAAATATATCTACAAGCTTGTTTCGAAAAACATCTGTTAAAATAAACACAAAAATTAATATTGGTTTATTTAGAAGTAAAACAAATTGAGTAAAGAATGAAACACATTCTTACGAAAACAGCATTCGAATTTCATCAGTAAAGCAAAACTTTTACTACATTAGTTTTCAATTAGATCTAAATAAAGTCGAAGATAAACAAATTGATACACTTATCTTTGATTTTCATACTTTGTAAAAATGTACGCCTTGTAGAAACTTAGTCTCTAGTATACTATGGAATTCTATATCCATAGTGTTAAAAGAACTGTTTGATCGCATAGCCATATTGCAATTTCCCATTTTCTGACGACACACATTAGTGGCCTCCGTTGGTAAGGAATTTTTATTTCTGTATATATAAATATTCAAAACAGATTTCTCTTAATACACAATCATTTCAGGTTGTATTTCTATTACTACTGACACAAAGTCGATTACAGAAGCTTAATAATATTATTACAATTAGCAAACGAAAAAAATAACATATTCGAACGAAGAAATAACCCATTTCATTCTATATCACTCTTTGCTCATTAGATCAATCAAAAATTGTGCGCAATGTCAACTAACACAGATTTGTTTTTTTATGGCCTAGCACTTGTTTAAAACACAAGTAAAATTCAGCTTCTCTTCTTTTGCACTTGGTAGTACAACAAATAGAGCTTCTAATTTGTTTTTGACCAGCAAGCCGATGACGAATTCTTCAATTTCGAGCGAGTGAAAACTTCGGCGAAAAAAAGTGACGAGAATGAATTCAATAAAATGATTATAGACAAGAATTATTTTGAAAATAACAAGGATAGAAAAAACTGAAGACAAGGTTTCATTGATACTCTATAGACAAAGATAACAATGTGCAAGTATTCAATTCAAGTAAAAAAGTAGATAAAAGTTCTTACGAAACTAGCTCATCAAAATTTTCGATACGATCAACATCTTGTTTGTCCACATAGTATTTTGATTAAAAAAAATGAGAGAGTAGAAAAAAATCATGATGAACATTTCTGTTGTTTGGTAGGAATTTGCTTGACAGACACATCGATAAGCAAATAAAAAGAAACTCGTCTAATTGAAGTAGAAAAAACAAAACGAACAGAAATAGTTTCATTGTGCAATAGTCAGCCATAGGTTACATCAACTTTTCAAGCACAGAAAGAAAAAAGACATGATTAGTGTTTAAATTCGTATGTAAATGTTTTTTACTTGGTATAACTAAATTTCAGAATACATCGAAAAAATTGTGACATTCTTTTGGCTGTCACGTATTGCTAATACTACGCGATTGCTATGGGCGAAGGTCAAAACAAGTATGCGAAACAAACTTCAAGTTGCCAAGGAAAAAAATCAAAACGAAAGCAAAAGTATGGTTTAGTGCATGTGATCTTATTAATCGAGTGGTTTTTTCTTTTTTCTGCATCAATTAAACGAAAAAGGAAAAAAAAAGAGAAAATGAAATTCATTTGTTTCATACTCATAACATAAGATGCCAAGAGAAAAACACGACAAGAAAAAACATCAAGAAGGTACAACGAATAAGAATGAAAATAATAAGGAACGATCGAGAAGCCCATTATTCACTGAAACAGATGCTCAATCTCTCGAAGTATCGGAATATTCACCGGGACCGGGATATGTACCACCTTATACTAATCAGTCGATGAGAGAGCGAATCGTACCGACAGGTGTTGGTAAGTCATATATTACATGAACTCTATACAGTATTTTTGACCGTATATCTATAAACAACTATAGTTGATATTGACGAAACTGTACAACTTCCTGTATCTCCGTCGAAACCTAATCATCAATCAAAGCCATACACTGTTCTTCAATCGAGGGAAAATCATCACAAAGAACATGTTCATTTACCGTCGATTAACGATCATTCTCACCAACGTCATCAACACCATCCTTATGGATATGTTCCAACATCATCAGATTATCATTTCAGATATTTATCTAATTATAATCCAGTTGATCATGAATATGAGCCTCTTTATCATAATCATCAGCACTCCTCTCATTCACACAAACACCATCATCGACATCGTCACCACCATCATCATCATCAACATCATCATCATGTAAAAGAAATAGAAACATACGATCCTCGCTGGTGGTACATGCCTGTCAATACAGTTCATGGACCAAAGGTATGGAAATCTCCTGAATATCATTATGTTGCGCCAAAATGGTACGAATCATCTACTAAAATGAGTAGAACATCGATGAATATCTCAGAACACAAGTTATCTCCTCGGAAATATCCTGACTGTCGATGTGACGTATGCAGTGCCAACCATCGAAACTAGCCTCTCGTGATATTAAATAGGTTGTCCATGATTGAAATTTCATTTACTAGTATTAATGAACAAGGAAAATCTTAGAAACGTGCCTATGTTTTTTAATTAAAACGTTGTTGTTACATTTGCTGTTGTTGATTATGTGCGTGTTATTGTTCTTACGAGTGCTATTCGATCACGACAAGAGTATTTGTCTGAGTTAGCCACTCTGTTTTCTTTTTCTGTTTCTCATAGAAACGACATAAAATCTGATAAATAAAAGATTATATTCAAATTAACTTGTGAAGGATTATTCAAAATCCATTAATAAAATATTTAAAATAAATTTTTCTCACTCAACGAGTGCCATCGATGAACATCTTTTTATATTCAATTGACTTCATCTTTTATCCATGTTTCCTACTTATGAATAATATGCTATTTATCGATCGTATCCGTGCAATTTCTACTAAAATTACATCACAACAACTTTCTTTCAAAAATCATGTAAAAATAATTATAGTATTCAAATATTACGTTAAACTCAGCAATATTTTCCGATTAAATCTAGTAAATCAATCGCTAATCTATTTTTCCATCAGCTGCTTCTCTCCAATAAGAAGGTATGTTTGAATGAAATTATTTCCTATTCCCAAATGCTTCAACTACAATTTTGTTTACTGCTTTGATTGATGCTATTTTTGTCTTTACATCTTACCTCATCGGCTGATGGCTGCCATTTATGACGTAGATATAATTTTCTTAAGAAGAACAATTAACGATTCGACGTCATCACTTAATAGGAAAAGCTTGGTGCGTTCGTTTGTTAAACGGTGAAGCAGCCTACGTCATAACAACATACATCTTAACCAATAAGAAATCTGATAACTTCTAGCACGTGCACTCAACCTATAGTATCATCATGACAGGAGCAGCATCAACAATAGCAATATCTCTTTTATCAATTCTGTATTATTAGAAATTAGTTTAGCTATTTCTTTGCTGTGAAACAGCTAAAATATACGATAATTAAAATGATCTCGTTTTCATAAAGGATTAGACATTATTTTCTGCACATTTCTAAGAGAGAAAAACGTAAATGATAAATGTCTTTCAATATCTATGTTGCCTAAAAATAAGCATAGATCGATACAATGAATTAATCAGAAGGCTTAATCAAGATTTTAGGAATCAAAACCTATTGATATTCATTGAATGGTTCGTCAACAAGAATTCTATAGGACATGCGAATATATAATCTTGAAATTGAGAAGCCGATGACAATCTAATTTTGATGTATTTTATACGATAATCTCTTTTGACGTTTATTTCAATAGAAACATACTATATTCGTAGAAGGCTTTCATTTAATGAACAAACACATAGCGCCAAATGGCGTCTGATGTCAATTTTCAAGGCAACCACGCAAAAGTTTCTTCGTCAGTATCACTATCGTCATCTGAAACGATCGTACACTCATTGACATCACCTACTTCACCAATACAACCTATATATGAAGTTGATTCTATGATCGATATTGTTGAAGAATCAAACGAAGGTGGAATATTTTTATTCGAAACTGAACGCCGTCTTACATATAGCAGTAAATATGCATGCACACTGTGTATTGTATGCATATTTGGTTGTTGGATATGTACTATACCATCCGTTATTGTTACTATATTTGCTCGAATAGCTGCCCAGAAAAATCAAATATCTCGAGTTAAAGTGTTGTTCAATATTGCATTCATTTTTTCATTTTTCGGTTTAATATTGTTTGCTGTGCAAGCAGGTTATTTAACATGGCTCATACGTTATCTCGCGCATAGGTTTCTCACTTAATAGAATAAAATCTATGCATCTAAAACAAAAGAAGTATTTAACTATTTAAATTTTATTTTAAAAATTATAGAACAGCGTTGACACTTCTATTTTCATATACAGATAATATAATTTTAATTGACTCAAATATTAACATTATCCCAGTCGATATACTAAATAAATTCATATGTCATAGTCATGTGTTTTGTTCTATTCAACTGCATCAATACGAACTAGTTTGAAATTCATATGCTCACACGATGTATCTACTGCCAAGTAAATTCTTATCAGTTTGTTCAATATACATACAGACATACAGAAATATAAATCTTCCTTTCTTAGAAGTAAAATATTATATTCATTATGTTAGCTGAAATTCTTGCTGTCGTTGGTACCAAAAATATGACTTGAGTGAGCTTTTAGATCGCGAAATCGGCCGATATGCTATCTTCAATGAGACGCACGAAAAGTTTTGCTAATATCTTACAAAATATGTTGACTAATAATTTTCAAGTTGTGTTCAATCGTGTTGCACGAACTTCACAGATTATTTATTTTTTGCATGGCTCTTCTCGGTTAATTTAATAACAGTTCCATTCATTCAGATGGAGCTCTTGCTGATAATGCTCAGATTCTTTTTGACAAGTTCGATAAGCATAGTGTGAATGAAGGCAAATCAACAGACGTAGTTCATTCAGAAATTTTCTATAATACTTTTTTTTATACGTTGCGCATCTCAATACAACTCAAATCTGTCCTAGCAACATTAATACAGCTGCCTCTCCCAATAATGTGAACGTTTAAAAAAAAATCTTGTATATTATCTGAAAACTAATTTTGCAATTAAATTGTATGCTTTCGAAAGAAAAGACTGATTTTCTATAATAAATATAGACAGTGAAATATTTACTTCTTAGAAAATATTTATTCACAATGTTGATTGCGTTTTGAGACCATCATAATTAATCCATATTTAATAGTATTAATTATTATTTATATGTTCAGTTTAAAAGCAAATATTTTAATTTCATGGTGCTTTAATTAAATTTCAACGATGTCTATTATTTAGTTATTGATATCGATAGTAAAATGATTTTTCTAATGTTTTTGTAAAGATTATGTTCATATGGCAGCGTAGTCATGATAAATAAAAATATGTGTATACAATAAAATAACTCCTATATGGTATGATGTTTAATATGTCGGTAAATTTATGAATATCCGAATAAAAAGTATCAGAATCAAATGAAACTATTTTCGATAAATGTAAATCGAATTTCATGTTATTTATGGTAAAAATCCGAAAGTTTCAGAATCTTCAGAAATCAATTCAAATCTTTGCTATGCTTTTTAATACTTATTAAAAAAATATTGGATAGTTGTAATCAACACGAGTAGTTCTATCGAACTGTAACGACTACTAATAGAATCATGATCAGAAAAAAATCTATGTTCGATGTATGAAGAGAAAAGCTTACGAGGGAAGGTTCCTGAGTGTGTCTCTGAGATTTTAATCAAAAGTAAATGGATGTGTCAGGTTAAATATTGTTATCTCAAATATATATAAATTAACGGCCCAGAGCAAACGAATGAAAAAATTTAAGTGAACAAATTTTCTAATACCCTGAGGGGAACGCCAGTACTTTGTTATCAAAGCAATTCGTTCGCGGTACCCCTCAGAGTATTAAAAAATTTATTTTTTCATTCGTTCGCTTTGGACCGCTAATTTTTATATATTTGAGATAGCAATACTAGACCTGACACATCCATTTACTTTTGGTTAAAATCTCAGAGACACACTCAGGAACCTTGCCTTGTTAGACGTGGAAAATGAAGGTATAATGAAGAATGAAACTAAATTCGTAAATAAGTTTTTGAATAACATGATGATATTTAGAGTAAAAAGCGTAGGGCCAACTTGTTTAGTATATCAAGTACTTTATTAAAAATATTTCCTTTCATCGTTTGATTAGAAAATGATTTTTTTTATAGATAGATCGGATTTGGTAGAGCAACAAAGATTATTATCTGCCAATATTTCAAAATGATCGTATTGTAGTCTTGATGAATGAAATCAGATAGTAACAATATCTGATATAAATTTCTTTTCTTTCATAGGAAGTTATTTTTCTATGAATATAGTTGAGTAAGTAAATTAAGTTTCATTCAGCCAATGAGAAACAGATTTAGAATATTTAAATTTGATATGTTAGGAAATGCTTCGGCTTAATTTGACTTAACCTGCTAGATTAATTATATTATATTTTTTTATCAATGAAAAAAACGTTTATTTATATATGATGATCCTCTCTTTCTTTTTTAGTAGTAAAATATATTCCACACGTGATTTAGTAATTATTAAAAAATGTGATATTATTCTGTCATTACAATACATATTCTATATATTGATTAATCAAATATTAAAAAATTCCTCATATGATACGTTTATCGTTTTTTCTTCGTTCATTTTTTGCTACTAATCATACTGTAAAACAACTTTTTGTTACTTCTTCATGGTGTGACTAGAAGTATTTGTCAACATGACGTGAAAACAGAACTTGAAAGATGTAGACTTAAAAAAGATGAATATAAATAATTAAAGTTTCTACGAAATTATACTTTCATTGTTTCTTTTTGTTTCATGTTTTTATTACCATGAACAAAACATGAGACATAAGACCAATCAAACAGAACAACTTTTGGAATGATGATCATTCTTGCAAATAATAATAGTCGATTCTATAATTGTACTTCTGTATGTATGCGTTCGTATGATTGATCGATTGATCAACACATCATACGCTGGAGAATATAAAACACGATTCGATCACATATAATCGATAATTTGAATGAAGGCGCCGACTAAAAGGTAACTAATCATATCTCAATGCATACAGACTATTTTATACCCGATTGCTTTTCTTTATCTGGCGTAGAACACAGAAAAAGAAACAATTAATCGGTCTATAATTTCATAATGTAGCATTCTTATACGAAAATTTAATTAGTTTCAGGTCTTTTATTTATTACTTCAAACGACATTTGTTGACCGCGTAGGCAAAAAAAATAGAATAGTAATAATTTAAAAGGAAATGTTACAGAAAAAGAAAGCATGTGACTGAATACGTATGATAAAGCATGCACCGAAATTTATGCCAACAGGATAAATCTGATGATGGGAAAGAAAAAACTATTTTTTAAATTTGGTAAATTGATTATTCATAACTTGTTTGTCTGCGCTTTCTTCCCAAAAGTAACATACGTTGACGTATACAATTAGCATAATCGTTACCACGACCACTTGCCGGTATTTGATTGCATGGTTTTAAAATTTCTTGAAAATCGGCTGTTTTCTTCAAGAGAATATGCTCATTTTTGTAAAGTTGATTTCTATTAAGAGGGGAATAGAATAGTTGTCGACTTTGACGATTTACTTCTTCAAATCGATCAACTTCATTGCTAAGATCATCAATTATTTCTTGATTCGATGTAGAAAAAGCCAATAATGGAATGACCATAGCGATGAATATACAAAATACAGTGATGTTGTGAATGCTCATTTTTAGAAGATTGTTTAATTAATAACTGTTATCTAAAATGATGAAAGTAAAATAAAACAAAAAAACGTAGAGAACGTACTGCAATTATTTCTTATTTCAATGGACTATTATCGATTCTGTTCAATCACTCAGTTGCTTCCTTTCTAATTCAACAAGATAGGATCTTTCTATTCTTTCTTTGCCAATCGTTACTTCAGAAGTGCAGTAAGAAAATAAAGAGTACTGTCGACTAGGGGAGGGAGGGGGGAGAGGGGGGAGTGAAGCAAGAGACGTATACAATAGAATAAAACTCAAGAGTTCAATCGTTGTCAGCAGCCGTTGTCGATTCATCGGGCAAGAATATGAAAGCTTTTTAACGATCTATACAGATTTGAGATTGACACCCTGTCTCGTTGGTTCCGCATATCTATTTGAACTCAAGTCACATACACATATACAAATAATTACTAGATCGACCTAGAAGAACTGAACTTGAAGAAAAAAAAATACAAGTGATGACGTAGATGATATATAAAAAACAGAAGAAAATAACGATCAATTCTGTATAGAAAAATCTAACAATACAATAAAGGGAAAAAAGGACAAGAAGGAACGTTAAGTCATTAGTACGGCGGTATCGAAATTCTTCTATACTAGAAGGTAGATCTAAAAATAAGGCAACAGAGCATCTTTTGATAATGCAAAACGCATTCTTTGAGAATATTATAAATAAAATAGTGCAAAAGCTTTCAACTTCCCTAATTTATATAGAACTTTGCATCGTTCGAAATCATTTAATTGCTCTTATTATTTAATAGTATAATAGCAGTGGATGGTAAACAACAAGGACTCATAGCGTGTAATGTCGACGTTCATAGACTCTGATGAGTTAGCTTGAGGCATATAAGAAGGAAAAGTGTTTGTCACGAACTATTTATTTTACCGAAGAATTTTTTAATCCTCTATTTATGGATACGAGAAAAATATAACAGAAAAAAATAGAGAGAGAGAGAGAGAGAAAAAAAAATATGATAAAAAAATGAACAAATTTACGTTGCTTCAATTAATGGATATTGTAAGTGATGTCTAAATTGCTACACTAGACATAAGTCTAAGCCGAATGAAAGAGAGGAAATGACTTCCACATCGTGAATTCCTGTAATGCTTTTTATTGTTGCTTAAGAACATTTCCGGTATTATATTCATGAATGTGAGCTAGTTGCTTAAAAATATGTTCAATTAGCTGAATGCGTGTTCTATCATGTTGTTCATTATTAATGGAAAAATAAAAATATTGTTCATGTTCTCTTGTGAATGTTGTTAATGTTTCAGCTATTAAACTACCTTGAGATTTATGCTCGCTACATGCCCAAGTCACGATTGTTTGATAATCAGGAATATTAGTTGTACTACTTAACTTCCATGTACGATTAAATCGGAATTCATTTGGTAAAATTGAACATATTTCTACTAATGGATTCGATAAATATGTTGGTAACTCGTTCAAAACAAATTCTGCTCCACCAATAACCGTGGGAATTTTTATATTCGATGATTTATTTTTTTGTAAATGTTCTATCGTCTCAAGTGCTAACAAACCTGATGCTGTATGATGACCATGTGATTGAGTACTTGGTAGCATAATAAGCATTACATCATAGCCATGAGTACTGTTACCCGTTATTATGACTTGTTCAAGTAATTCAATGATTAGTTTTTTATTCCATTGTTCAGCAAAAACAATATCAACATTTCGATCATATTTTAAATCTAATTGATCGAAGAAAAAATATTTTCGAATTCCTAATATTTTCCCACTAGCAAATAATTCTTGTTTACGTATACGTGGTAAATGTTGCCGACCAATACTTTCATTTGATAGTTCTAGATTGTCGTATAAGTATTCACATGGTGCAGAATGTCGAAAACCACCTTCACCATTGGTTACACAAACAAGATCAACAGTAGCATGAAGTTTATGTACTAACGCATGAATAAAGCCTGCGAAAATAGTTTCATCATCAGGATGTGCAATGACAACTAGTACAGCTAATGCAGAATTCATAATACCCAAATAGATAAAGTTTTTCAAAAAATCCGCCTAAACAAAAGAAACACAAAAAATCGAGAAAAAGTGGGCGTATTTGGATGTCAACCTGAGTATCCAGTTGTGGACGAAACGCGCCCATTTGTCGTCGTTTTTATGCGCTTTCATCTATAATCCACACGCAAATGCACACAAAAAAACGAGGGGGGGGGATGATGGTTTCTTTCATACTTGAGCAGCCTTTCAAAAAAAATGACCACTTATCCCATTTATTTGTATGGATTTATATTCTTTTTTCCGATGAAAATGTGTTCAAGTGCATAAAAAGGACGACAAATGGGCGCTTTTCGTTCGCAGCTGGGAATGCTAGTTGTCATCCAAACATGTTCACTTATTCTCGATTATTGTCTTTTTTTGGGTTTAGGCGCTTTGTTTGAAAAGTTTTGTCTGCTTGTGTTGAATCAAAAGTTGTTTTACCTTCTGTTAAAATAATTGTAATGTTTACTAAGAAGATTAGATATACAAGCTTATCATATACATGTTCGTTTTTTTTACTTTTTCGTTCTGATATGTCAGAACCACAGAGAAAAATATATAATAGTTATTTAAAAACAAAAACAAGAAGCAAAAACATTGTTTTTATTGTGCACTTTGCATGATTGAGAGTTCGATAGCCATGTTAAGTGCATCACGCGCACAGTCATAAATAAATCGATATTGTTGCTCAGTTTGAACAATACCACAACGTTGACGTCGCAATTCTTTAGCCATTTGGTAAATATCTAATGTTCTTCCACGTATCATTTTAATTAGAAGTAAACTTATTAATAATGCACATCCTGTTCGTCCAACACCTGTATTACAATGAATCAATAATGGTGTATCACTTGTTTGATATGAATGTGCTAAATGTATAAGATTAAGAAATGAGTGCGTATCACGTGGGATCTTGTCATCCTGTGGCCATTTATTATATGTTAAAAATATAATTGAATGTTCTTGTTTTTGATGTGGTTGTTCACTAGCACGAATACGAAATTCTTTGATATCAATACTTTCATCTAATTGACGACTTTTTATTAGTGTCAAAGATAAACTGAAAAAAGATACGACAGAAAATTTTAGTACAAAAAACAAGATCAATATGCATCACTTACAATGGTGAAAGTGTCATTGCTGTTTTGATACTAGTTGGCCAATAGGCAGGACATTTCATTTTTTTTAAATCTTGATCATTAAATATGCCTATCATGCATTTAACTTTTGCTTCAAAAATCATTTGCCAAAAATCATCTAAGCAGTAAATACATTGATAATATATTTATGTCAAAAACTAGTACAATAAATAATACTGACTGATACTATCAGGTAGTGGTGGTGGACAAATAATATATTTCATTGATTTATCTCCAATTGGTATTGCTATGTAACTCGCATTGATATAATCTGGTTTAGTTGAAAGCACAACACGATTAAAATCATACGGAATTATATTTTGAAAACGATTTAGTGTTTTATATTCAGCTAACATTGCCACAGAACTGAATTCGACTGGTTCATGTTCATTGATAGCTTTTAATGTCTAGATAATATATTTTTATTGTAATCAATTTCTGCTTTTTAATAAAATTAAAAACGATTTACTCGAAACTCTTCTAAATACTCATCATCAGGACCAATTTTTATATCGACTTCACGACATTCATCCATTAATGTTGTTGTATCCATTGTTATAGCTGGTGTACTAATTTTATCGATTAATTGCATAGTTAAATTTTCAATCTTTTCCGCAACACCAGCATTGAGTATTAGAGTTTCATTAGATGCAGCTTGCTATTGAGAATGATGAAGTTAATTAAGTGCAATTAAATCGATTTACTTACTTGATAATATTGTTTTCGTTTAGCAATATCAATTTTTGAAGATGCTAGAAGAAAAAGATATAAGAGTTGAAATCAACAGCTACAAAATTTATTTATTTACCTGATGATAATTTTGAATTTGCAGGTGGTACTATCAATTCTAGAATAGTTGGTGGTGGTGCTATTGGTGATTGAGGACTTATTAATGGTGTTTTTATATCACTTGTATCTTCATCGACATCGGTATGTGAAAGAGGAGAATCTTTTTTCTTAATATCAATCGGTTGATTCTGCTGTTTATCTGTGATTGTTTCGGCAGTATTCGATGATAATGGTTTGATCTTTTTACCAATCAGAGATGCTAATGCCGAACCTGATGGTAACGAAGATGTAGCAGCTACATCAGCTACTGTAGTTGCTGCTGCTGCAGATGATGATGATGATGATGATGATGATATTTCTATAGAAGTTGGTGCAATCATAGTAGTAGTTGCTTGGGGCTTTTCAATTTTTGTTAAAGGAAGTATTTTTGGTTTTTCACGTGGTACTAATTTTTCAAAAATCGATGAAGCAATAGTTGGCGGTGTTGACTTAGGTATTGGCGTTTCCTCTTGTGTCTAAAATATTTAAAATACCATTTTTATACTTTCTATAATCAATACAAATAATATATGAATTTACCTTTGGAATTTCTTTATTCGGAATTATATTTGTTGTGTTTGATGTCGAAGAATCGTTTATGGGTCTAAATTGAATGAAATGTATTTCAATGTTAAACGACAATATATTATATGTTTTTGAAAAGCAAAAAAATAATACCTAGCAATTATTAGTTTAACACCTTTTTTTGTTGTCACTTTTAATGCTTCTACGACTTCACGATAAGACATTTGCTCAGTACTATTATCATTTATGAATAATAGCCGATCATCAATCTTTAATCGTCCATCTTTTTCAGCAATTCCATTTGGTTGAAGAGCACATATAAATATACCACCAAGTGACTTTTGAGGGTCGACTTGACTGAGTCCAATACCATACGTTCCTTGAGGAGCTTTAGGTAATATAACTTCGATTTTTTCATATTGCTAAAAATTCATCAGTTACACATGATATAAATATATATATTGTACAATAAAAATCTGAAATCTCACCACAGGCTTATTAAACAATTCGGATTTATTCGGTTTACTAGGCATGACAGGCGACGGTGGCGCTGAGATACTTGTGCCTGATTGATCCTATAAATATATGAATAATAAAAAATTGATGTCACTGATCTCCACTCAAATAAAGATCCACAAACACACACACAAACACGCAAACAGAGTTCTATTGTTAAATAGCATGAATAGAATTTTAGCAAGTGTAATAAAAATAGAAACAAAAAGAAGCTTTTCTTTTTAATGTATGAGAAGTGCTCACAAAGGAGAATAGAGAGTGAAAAGCATCACTCTCTAACTCACGCCAACGCTTATTGATGCATATGATGTATTTTGCAATTGTCTGCTTCTTTCTTTTGCATGCACAATTTCCTCAATACGTGGCCGATAGATAATAAAATGTACAGGACCTGTTGGTGCATAACGAAGCCGTGCAACAAGATCACGATGCGTTATTGTTTGACAATCTGTATCATTTATCGATAGAATACGATCCCAATGTTTCAATCCAGCAGATAGAGCAGGTTCACGTAATACCGATCGAATATGTGGATATCCGATCGATGATGAACCTGCTGATAATGTAAAACCAAAACCACTATCTTTTTCTTTGTTCATTATCACGGCAAAAACCTAATGTGCGTTTGAAAAAAGCGTTGTAATGATTGCCAGACAGTTAGAATGATTTTAAAAACGAAAAAAAAATGAAAAATATAAGTAACCTCCAAAGAATAATCATACACTGAATCTCTTTTTTTTTAAAAAGCATCTTTTCAGTGTTGATATTCTTTAATTATATTTGCCACGTATATTTTCACACTTAAAATCAATCTTTACCTCGCCGCGTTTAACTTTTATTGGTACTTTTGGCATAAAACGTCTAGTACCAGGTGATTTTGGCGGTAAATCACGAACTACATCATTTGTACATCGAGATTGCTCATTATTCATTGGTGATGGTATAGGTGATTGATTATCATTATTCATATGACGATCCTAAATCGATGTAAAGAAAAAAAAAGCAATGTTTCTATTACTTTAGCAATAAGAAGAAAACAAAAAGGATATAAACCAAATAATCTTGATATTCTCTCTGATCTGGTCGACATGCAACAATTTTAACATTTTCTGTTGAGTCACCAATAACCGAAGGTATATCCTAGAAAAATAGTTTTCATCTTAGCAATTATTTGCAAAATATACATACTCGCACATTTTTATTATGCATAGTTATACTGTTGATTGATAAAATAACATCACCAATATTTAATCGACCTGATAGAGCAGCTGGTTGATTGGGGTAGATATCAAGAACTTCGATGGGTTTATTTTCAGCTGTGCCACCCGTTAAACTAAGACCTAAACCAGTAGGGCTACGGTTTAGAAAAACTTCAAATGTATTATCTAAAATAGCCGCAATGTGCTTATATAGGATAGCTTTCATGTTAATATTAAATTTAGTACCTGGGCGAGCGAAAGGATAGATTCTTTTTGTCGATGATGAGTGTGAACTATTGAGAAAAATTAGACGTTGAACAAGTAAATGGCATCTAGGCCCTGTTGCTCCACGAAATAATTCAACAGCCTCAGCATGTGTTACTCGTGCTAACGAAGAACCATTTACTTCAAGAATTTTGTCACCTAGAAAGATAAATCTCATTCCATATGAAGAATAGAAATACGGAAAAAAAATTAGTTACCTTCTATTAATAAATTTGATTTTGAAGCAGGACCACCCGGTGTTATACTTTTAACATAGATTCCATGATCTTCAATTTCCGAATCAAGGCCACCCTTGAAAAATTGTAAAATAAAAATGAATACTTTGATGTTTTCGAATCAACGAAACTATTAAATGACATACAACAACAAGAAAACCGAGACTATTATGACCCAATTTATCTATTGTTACAGGAAATACAGCACTTTTGATATCATGTGTAGCTGACAGGTCGGATGCTTGCGAAAGAATACTTTCATTCGATAGAAGACGTTTTGTTGGCAAAGTTTTTGAATGATTTTCATGTGACCATGTTGTCTATCAATATTAAAAATACAAAACATAAAAGAAGTTACTATCCTTGAAATAATAAAATAACCATACTGATAAAGTATTTGACGAATATTTATTATGTTTTTGTTGCTGTAGGAAAGAATCAGCATCAACACTCGTTGGTCTTTGAAAATGATCTCGTTGATTTAGTGTTGGAACTTCATGTCTTGACAATTTTAATTGACAGGGATTTGGTGATAGACTAAGAGCATTGGCTACTTCTTGCACCGTCATACCACCAATATTATTTCCATTATATGATAAAAGTCTATCGCCTATCAAATACGGAAACATTTTCCGAAATTGAAAAAAAAGAGATTTACTCAATAATTCGTCAAACCTGTTTGAATTTTTCTTGATCGTGCTGCACTTCCATCGATTTGTTGAATTGATTTGATAAAAACTCCTGAAGTAGAATCACCCATAAGTGACATACCCAAACTATTATGACTGTCTTTATATAAATCAACTTCATAGACAATTATTGTAGGCGACTTAATTGGTGCATTTCTAAATCAATATGTTATTATATATATTTTTTTTTATAAAATAACATATTTATTGAAAAAAAATTTTTTTTTCTATTCATAATATCTTACTTTCCCAATGTACTTAAATTTTCATGTGATCGAGATCGAGTTTGATCAACCTATATACAGTAGAAACAAATAATCTTAAGAGAAACAAAAAAAATATCTAATCTATTAATCATACATTGTGATCGACACTTTCTGCATCGGAACCATTACGAACGAAATCAACTGTATTATTAAAAAAGAAAATAACATTTTCATTTTCAGAGGTTTGTCTTTTGATATTAAATTTACCGTCACCGATCGGTTCATTTAATAAACTATATCGACTATTATGACGCAGAAGAAGTGATTTTGTAAATGTATATGTATCATAGCAGAGATTGAATAAATATTTTCCTCTATTAAGTAATTTCAAAAAAGAAAACGATGAGAATAAGTTTCAATTAAAAATATGAAAATTTAAAAGACATTACTTTTTACTATTATTAGTTAAATATTTAATTTTTGCATCACTTGCTTGACGTTTAAGTATGATAGAAAATGTTTTTTTATCAAAATCTATCCGTTCAATTTGATCCCAGAGATAAGCCACTTTTGCTGATTGTTGCCGATTTTTTATTTGCCAAATTGATACATCTTCTAAACGTATGCCAACAAGAAATACATCATCACGTTTTAGATCTTTGTATAATTTATACATATGATAACCATAATTGTCTATGTGAAAAGAAAATCATGTTATTGCATAAACAAAAGGACAAACAGAATGAATGAAATCTTATGGATGATACGAGTGATGTGTAGGCAAACATAAAGAGGAGATTACGGATACTTTCAACAACGGTATGATTTGTTGTTGTCAAAATGACAAGAAAACGTACCTTCATACAAAATCACTTAGCAAAAGTCTTTTGTTGATCGAGAATAAAAATATGACAATGTCGATAAACCCTTTTAAAAGAGAGATATCCTTCTATATTTGTGGTTCAACAGTAAATATCGACAGCTAGTTTACGATGGATGAGATCAATTTTAAAATATTTTAACTCTGCTATTGAGCTAGCTCCTTAATCTACAGAAGACTAATAACCACACTGATATACTCCAGCGTACGCTCGTAGTTTGATTTTCGCATAGACATTGTATTTATGTTCATGCTTTTGCACAATGAAGTTTTTTCATGGTCATCGTTTAGGTTACTTTCATACGAGTTGTAGAAATCATATTGACGAAGCAATAAAACTCGAATGTTTGCAATTTCAAATGTAGTTCAAATGAGATTCAATTGTAACAAGATGCCATTCAAGCACGGTTGGTTGCTTTTTTTGTGAAAAATTGTTCACTCGATTTTAGATGAGTATATAATTGAATTATTTACTTTATTTAGAGATTATTAATATGAATCATTGATATTTTTCTAATAGGTTAATTCTTTTAACAATGATGAAGAAAAAGTAACTAATATTTTACCTAATTTCATCACACTTTCCACAAACAATTGTTCAGCTTGTACATCATTTAATTCAGCATAGATTTGTTGTCTTTTAATAATTTCTTCGCGTAAGTTTTGAGTACCATACTAATATAAAAAAAAGAAAACATGTAGAAAAACAATTTTCTATTCAAGATGATTTTCAAACCTCATTAATTAAATCCTTGGATCCATAATGTTCAATGATAAAATTGGTTGGCGATTGTTCATTTTCATTTAATCCACCATATTCAGCTTGATAAGCTAATGCTGCAAATGATAATTTTTGTTCACTGTTAGTTTCAAATGCATCCTCAAGAATCATTTGTCGAAATTGCAAATAAAAAAAATGTTGCGTAAGAAAATGCCTAAACACAGCACAAAAGAGTTCAAATCAGTATTGTCAAATGAAAAATAAAACAAAAACCTGAGTACAGCAATATCATTAACAAAATATTTAATTTTTAATTGCATAACATATATGGTTTGACCAGATTTCCATTTTGCATCATTGATTAATTTCGATATTTTAAGATCCATCGGAGGAAAAAAACATTCATCTTCTACATTTACAAGAAAAAAATAAGTTTTTATTACTTAATTTACTAAAATTAAAAAACAAATGAATAGTCACCGATCATAATCATAAGACCAAAAAGATCATGTTCAATTAAATCAGCATAAGTAACAATCGTTTCATAAATAACACGTACAGTAGCATTGGATTTACAACACACTCGAACACAATTATTATTTGGAAGAAGAACCATAACTTGACAAATGCATTCAAATGGATTCTTTTATAAATATATTATAAGAATAAGCTTTTCCATAAAATAAATATTAAACTTACTCGGCTAGGAACTATGATTTTTTCAACTTTAGCATTAGGTTGTACAACAAATTCAGGTCCAAGTTGTTTCTATGAGAAGGAAAAAAGTTTCATGAATATTTTATATAAAATTATAATACAAATAATAAATTTATATGAAATTATAATACAAATAATAAATTTATATGAAATTATAATACAAATAATAAATTTATATAAAATTATAATACAAATAATAAATTAATATAGAATTCTATTCATATCGTGACATGCTCTACTGTACTCTTGCATACGACTGAAACAATAAGTGAGTATTAAATCGTGTAATATAACTCGAAAAACAAATCGATGCCGCTTAATTAAGTGTCAGATGTATGATAACTACTAGAATGAACCAATTCTTTTCGAATGATCTTGTTCTATCAATAATCGTGGTTTAAATATTCTATTTAGTTCTTGTTCCTATGGCGATAAAAGAACTGTTTATCAATTGTTTGATCCAGAACTATCATAAGTCTATTCAATACAATAAATTTTAAAGTATCTGATGACTGATTCATCTCACAAAAGAATCAATGATCTTAATGATAGAGTTCATTTAATAATTAACGATATAAGATTCAAATGTTGATTAAAAAATATTCTTTTAATAATTTGAAAGAAGAAATAGAAAATCTTCGATTATAATCGAGCCTTGAACATTTGTAAGACTTTCACTTATATTTTTTTTATTGCAAAATATTTCTCACTGTTACTGTTCTTTTACAAAATAACTACCAATCGCATTGGATTTAATCATGTTGAAAGACTTATTTGTACATTTTTTTTTGGCCTTAGTGAACTAATCAGCTCTGTCTTGTCATTCAAAACATAGAATAAAATTTCATTAAATAAATTCATTTGTTTCAAAACTAAGTTCTCTCAAATAATAACAGAACGAAAGAAAAATAAAACCATGAACCTCGAAAGAAAACTGAATAAATTTGTTGACTTCCACGCATCATATTCTCATATATAATAATCAAACTTATAATTCAATGTAAAATGATATATGAAATATGATATTTCATTAAGATAAATAAATTATTATTTACTCGAAACAGTGATTTTCGTCTTCGTTTTCGATAAACAGAACTATTCAATGAAGCATTGAGATCGAATAAAGATGATTGATTAGTTGTATCAATTCTATGGTTCATAGAAGCAATCAATTATCTCTTTTTGTATTGTTCAATTAATAACTTACAACGCTGCTGGAGTTAGATCAGGCATACTAGTTGATGATTTTCGATATATTGTTGTTAGTTCTTTATTCATGGATGCTTTTTCTGGTGCAATGAATGCGGTCGCTGCGGAGATTCAACAGAAAGAAAAGGAAATTTACAATAAAAAAAAGAGCTATCTTCTCTTACGTAGTCTTCGTTTTGCTTTGAGACGTTCTCGTAATTGTAATAATTTGACTGTGTCTTCACTAGTTAAATCATCAGGTAAATTAAGTTGTGCTCGTAATTGTTCTAATTTTCGTTTTTTATTTAATAAACGTTTACCCATCGTTATAAATTCAGCATTGTTTTCAAATATTTGAAATAAATCTTCTATAGCCGAACGAGTTGGTACTTGAGAATGATCGTTGATCGGCATAGCTCCTAATTGAGGGGGAATTTGTGGCAGATGACGTCTCGTACTCATCGGATTACAATTATCGTGATGATCAATAGCTTGATCGAGCAAATGTAAAACGTGCTCGTCGGTGAGTTCCTAATTGAAAGAAAGGAAGACATCATCAACCTAACTTTGCGCGACAGATGTACAATCGAAGGTCATCTGTTTACAATTCGCGAAAAGAGTGGAAGCGTACATGATGTATACACAAGATTAGGTAAACAAGTTTGCTTTTTTTGCTACAGAATTATGTACTTCATTTGCGTGTGCACAACAATTCGAAAAGGCAGACAGAAAGAAATTTTAAGTAGCAATGGCGTTGACTACAAAAAAGGATGCAACAGCTGGGCAATCGCAAGTATGATTTTTAGAGACGGCAGTAAAAAAGTCGAAAGATGAGAAATGGGCGTTCGAAAGAGAGAGAGAGAAAAACAAGAGAAACAAATATGTGCATGTTTATGAGTAAGCAGTTCCTACTCAATTTCACAAATGAGAAAAGAGAAAGAATACTATGCGTTTCTTTTTTGAATTTCAACCGAAGATATGTGTATATAAACGCAGATATATATATATATATATATATATAGATGTTGAAGCCTTGATTTAAGTTAAACAAAGGATTTGTTTATGATGTCATCCATCGAAAAAAGACAAGATTGGTAATATGTGTATGACTTTATACGGCTTTAAGCGAATCAGTACGGGTAGATGTGTGTAAAGAAAAAAATAATAATCTATTGATGTATCTCTTATATAAATATATTAAAATTTTTCTTTATTTCAAAATCAATGAACTTGTATGCATACCATCAGAGAATCGCTATCACCGGTACCATGACTTGATTGTTTACTTCTACAATTACTGTTGAAACTCCCACCACGAGACCATTTTCGACTATCATCATGATACCTTGTAGTATCAATCGACATTTTTCTTATAAAATCATTGTTAAACAGCGATGATATTATTACACCACGAAAAACAAAGAAACCTTAAATTTTAGGTCATGCTCAACATAGTTGTTGATTTTAATTTCATAAATTAAACTTTCTTGGCTAGGTATCTTTGAATTATAAAATATTAATTCAAAACAATCATGCATTGCGATTGGTTGAAAACGCCATCGTACTGAGCGTTGCTACGAAATGAGCCCATATATGATGACAAACAGTTTATAAGTATGCTAGAAATAAGCGGAAAAAAAGGTAAATACAAAATATACTATTAATTTCAGTAGCTGCAAAATAAAATACTATAGAAGATGTATCATTCAAATGCGCCACCTCTCGATGTTGGTATTTCATTCTTGATTGAGCTTGAATGAAAATATGAAATAGAATAATGCAGTTATGAAACTGAACTAGTTAAATAACATATTACAGTTGGAATAATAGAAAAATATTTTTCATGAACAAATATGTTATTGTGTCTATGCGACATAATTTTTATTTTGCTACTACTATGGCAATTATATTTTCATTTTAACATGTATGTACTATCAAAAAGTAAAAAAATTGCTCGTTGATGGTTTTTCTGCTTTCGAAATATTACTAATTCCATATTCGTTCGTTTTACTTAATCGTGTAGTACATGCTTTATTTATTTCAACACAGGAAAAAAATTGTAAAAAATAACATTCGATATTTCATGTTCAATTTCTCATCGATTCTCTGTATTGAGCACGATTTCAGTGAATTGTCTATGAATATTAAAAATACAAAATAATTTACAGTCCTTTTCAAATAATACGACAGTAGTATCAACAAACTGTTGACATATGAGCAAAAGCAATCAAGTTTTATTTTTTCAGAGCTTTACTTTTGTTTATAGAAAAAGAAATGGAGAATTTTTCTGTTTTGCTACAGCATCCTTTATGTTAATTTTCGAGAGTATGACTTTATCGTTTTGCTCTTTGAAGAACTAATAGAAGGCTTTTCAAGTATATATTTCACATATTTTTATAAAAATACTGCAAGCACAAAAAAGTGTGTGTTTTTTCTCCAGTCTGATACAGCAAGACGCACACTACCCTTTTTTTTGTTCTTGAATTGATTATTGGTGCAAATTTTGTTTTTTTCATTGCACGTAATGAAAAGAAAAAATCAACCAAGAAAGAAAGAAAACTACAAGTCAACATGAACTATATCAGCTGCAAATCATGAATACAATGAATTTTTTTTAATTAGACTGATAGAAAAATTGAAAAATTTTTTCCGTCATTTTACTAGCACATTTTCTTTTATAATTTTTCTAAAAGTAACAGTTGAAAATATAGATAAGAAGACTTCGCACTACGTGAAACATTTTTACACCACTCTAAAATGTTTCTATTTGCACTATGCCCGACACCGGGGGG